GGGTTCCCCCCCCCCCCCCTTCCCCCGGACTTCATGATCGTAAAGGAGCTCTCAGCTCTCACCAATTAAAGGGACTGTAAGCGTAATTTCTCCATGCAAAGATGACAATGCCTGATTCACACCGGTACCTTTGAATCCTTTATCTGATCAATAATATTGAAGATATTGTCGTTATTCCAGGTTTAAAAGTGTTTGATTTTGTTAATTCCTACATAAGTTTTCCTGTAGTAGAAATGCGCAAGACACTTTAGTAGCGAACCCTCAATTGAAAATAATCTGTTTTCAAAATTACAAACTTTAATATAAAATTCATACTTGATCAAAAAAGCCTTTGTGGGTACTGTTGTGAATCGAGCATTTCCAATGTTGGATGGAAGGATGGAAATTACGCTGACATTCATAATTTACAATTGGAACCCTTAAACATCTTTATTTAACCAATAATTAATCTTAGAACAATTTGAATTATGTTAATGCAGTTGTTACAAAATTATACTTTTTTCGGGACGCACTTTAGAGTCTGAAAACTACCCGCTATATTCGATAATGCAAATAATTGCAGTTATAATGCATAGTTCAAGCTAGCAACCAAGGCCAAGGGGCGTACGAGAGCATTTGTGTAGGGGGGGGGGGGGGCACATATGTTGGGCGCGCAAATTTTTGTGTGTGCCCCCCTTGGCAACATTGTATCCACCTCTAAACCCCCTTTTTGAAAAAATATTGATATTTTTTTAACTATGTAAACTATTCGATCATATACACACTTCCATATTACGAGTGTTAATAAATTATTTATGTGTGCCCATGGGGGGCACGCACGTAAGAGGTGGGGGGGGGGGAGGCCTGCCACGGCAATGTGGTTTATTCGTTAAATAAGAATTCTTTGCATTTTAGGAAAAATCTTAAAACCGCTAAATACAATAGTAATATTGAATAACCTTTAAATCTAACCTGACACTTTTAACTGCAGGGGTAATTATAAGAATTTACGCTTAAACACAATTTACGCAAAACATTTATTACTTACGGAAGAAAAACATTATTGTTAAGATTTTCGTAGAAATCATATTAAATATACAGTTTTATTCTACAGGGCAGCATGCTTTATTTCAATGATTTTCTATATTGATAGAACAATCAAACATTGCAGAATTTTTCAAAAATGATCAAAAATATTTTAACTTATCTAAAACCTGATATCACATGATTTCAAGCATATTTTTAAAACCTTTTTAAAACAACTTTGATGAAATATATCTAAATCAATGTTAGAATCTCTGACAAAATGATAGAACAAGCTAAAAGTATTTTATGTTGGGATAACGCATAGTTAGGAGGGATTAATAAAAGAACTATCATCTTATCTCCTGAAAAAAAACCTTCAATTTTTGTATTGTACAAGATTATTTTGGTAGAACTAATTTTCAAACTTGTAGACCATGCCTATAATCTTGATAAGAAAGATAGTAGTTTAGACACTGGTTTATACAAGAATGAAAAACTAATGGAAATTTAAACGGAAAATAATTGATAGGAAAAGGAGTATCTTACTTAAGGCATAGTTAACACGCCGAATTCGAAGATAATAGAGATAGTCTAAGGTATGTGGGATGGAATGGGGGGNTAAATTGTTTAACTTGACGCAAATAATCTGTAATGCATAGAATATATTTTATTTTTCGTTATTGAGTGAATGTTTAATAATAAATATATAATGTACTGTAAAACTATATATTTTCCCTGGGGTCACATGAGGTCCCATACAAAATTTGGGCCCGATCGGTTCAGCCGTTTTGATGTTTATTGGATACAAATAAACAAACAGACATGCAAAGTATTTATACAGACTTGACTTTTAGGGCGCTTCACGCCATCGACTATTTAAAATTTTAATTGTGGCTTTATCTCTGTGAACATCTTCTCTTTGGGCCCAATCGGTTCAGCCGTTTTGACTTTATTGGATACAAACAGACAGACAGACACCCAGACAAGCAAAGTATAAATATAGATTACGAAAATCTTATGGTTAATAAACCACACTGGGAACAATAAAATCAAATAAAATCCCCCGATTGGTTCAGCCGTTTTGACGTTTATTGGATTCAAACAGACAGACAAGCAAAGTTTATAGATAGATTACGAAAATCTTATGGTTAACCAGCCACACTGGGAACAATAAAATCAGATAAAATCCCCTTATCTGTCCGAAAATCTAAAAATCTCCAAATTGTATGCAGTATATGAAAGGGGAAAGGGGGAAAATAGTAGACGGTAAAAAAGACAGGTGAAATGCAAATGGGGAAATTTGAACGAAAAAAGAAAGACATCGTAAAATAGGATGAGTGCAAATCAGATTAGAGAAGTTAAACTAGAAATAGAAACAAGAAAATAATCTGGAATACATTCAAATCAATTAATTAAAACAGGGTGGACGCTTGTAACCTAATTACTAACTAATTAGGTGATTGGCTCATTAGTTGCTCCGTGTATACTGTATACTATATGTACCAATTAAGAAAACTAAACTTCTGGCACAAGAAGATTTTTAAACATAGTTCAATGTTTTTTTTTTCAAAATAATTGTCCTTTTCTTCCGCTCTTCTTTTTCTTTCTAACTTTATGTGATGGAGTTTTAATTCAAAGAAAATGGAAAGAATACAAAAGTTCAAGGTATTTCGAATATTTTTTAAATCCAACTATTCCTGCTTAAAGGAATTGAACTAATTATAAATGTCTAGGACATCAGGTTTTAAAATATAGTTTTCTTAATTCCTAAATACGAATTCTCATTAAAAAAAGATAATTTTAGCCTGGATACCCTGAAAAGGTTTGACCGGGGTAAACAGTTTTATAATTTGTATCATTTGTTTGCAAAACACTTCCCTAGCATACATTTTGGCGTTTAGAGGGGGGGGGGGATATGCCTTTTGCTTTGTTGCAACTTTGCAGGTATGCGTAAAGTAAGGTGATATTTTTTTACTTCTCGAATTTCCTGACTTTGATGAATAGATAGATAGATAGATAGATAGATAGTTAGATGGATAGATAGATAGATAGATAGATAGATAGATGATACATTACTGAGAAATGCTTCAAGGTCGAGTACAACAGGGTTTAATGAGTTCTACTTGTACACAATAATTCTAATCCGCTCTACTACTAACAGAAAGAAGGGTTCGCGAGCTTGGGGAGACTTTTTTCAATAAAATATATTTGCTTGGACCCTGTTTCTAGGACTAGAAAAATAATCATCAAGACCTGAGTATAAAAACTGAAATAAGAAGTGAACAGAATCGTCATTGTTTTCCTGTTCAAATTGTGTTCCACCAAGACCAGAAAAATACGTTTCAATCAACAAAATAAAAATTTACTTTAAGAGGGAATTCTATTTTTCTTGTCCGTTCTTACATTGGAAAACATTTTACTGATTAATTTGAACTTTACATAAAGGTTTTGTATGGAATGATTATGTTATTCAAGAAGATTTAGAAAGGAAGTTGGTATATTTCGAAAGGAAAGGCTGGGGACTCCTGAATCTCCTGACTCCCCTGACAATCTTTACCCCTGAAACTAAAGAAACCTCCAACTCCCCTAAATCCCAAAAAATCTCCGTAAAAGTACTCCTGAACCCCTAAGATCTGAAACTATCCTGAACCCCTAAGTTCTGAAACTCTCCTAGACCCATTAACCCTTAGAAGTCAGAATTTCTCCTGAATCCCTGAACCCTTCACAGTCTAAAACTGCACTGAAACCCTAAGATCTGAAACTCTCTTGAACCCCTGAAACCCTAAGATCTGAAACTCTCTTGAACCCCTGAACCCCTAATATATGAAACTCTCCTGAACCCCTAATATATGAAACTTTACTGAACCCCCGAACCCCTAAAATCTGAAACTCTCTTGAACCCCTGAACCACTAATAAATGAAACTTTACTGAACCCCTGAACCCCTGAACCACTAATAAATGAAACTTTACTGAAACCCTGAACACGCCCAAACAGTAGTTTAATAAACTGGGCGCTGTAGAGCCAATACAGCAAAATAATAATAATGATAAAACAGGATATTAGGTAAGAGTATGGAAAACTCAGGAGACAATAGAGATAAAATCGAAAATATAAAACATTTTCTAAATCTGAGAGTACCTTTAACACTTTATAAATCCTAGAATAAAATAGCTTTCTATAAAGTTGTAAATTTCTATAAAGAAAACAAAGATATCATCGACATCGACGATTATTTAAAGGTATTGAGATACCGTATTTAAAGGTATTGAGGTACCGTATTTAAAGGTATTGAGGTACCGTATTTAAAGGTATTGAGGTACCGTATTTAATACCGTATTTAAAGGTATTGAGGTACCGTATTTAAAGGTATTGAGGTACCGTATTTAAAGGTATTGAGGTACCGTATTTAATTGTCATTTTAAAATTGAGGGTTCCTTAAAATTACGTAGACACTCTCTTTAAAAATCTCTTATCTCTTTGTTATGATCTAATTTATTTGTATAAATACTCCAAGAATGTAGGGTGTATAATGTATAATGTATCAGATGATGAATAAAGCAACAAAGACTTGAATATCAGATATCACAACGTAAACTAAATATATAGTTGTTACACCACTACCAGACTAAACAGAAGAATTAACTGTCCATCTGGCAGACTTACAGATAAACAGATACATATATAGACTAATACACACATAAACAGATACATATCTAGACTAATACACAAACAGATGCACAGATAAACAGATACATAGATAAACGGATACAGAGATAAAAGATACACAGATAAACAGATACATAGATTAACTGATACAGATATAAACAGATACACATATAAACAGATACATATATAGACTAATACACATATAAACAGATACACAGATAAACAGATACACATATAAACAGAAAAACAGATACATATATAAACATATACAAAGACAAACAGATAAACAGATAAACAGATAAACAGATAAACATATAATCAGATACATAGATAAACAGATACACAGATAAACAGATAAACAAATACACAGATACACAGATAAACAGATACGCAGATGAACAGATACCCAGATAAACAGATACACAGATAAACAGATACACAGATAAACAGATAAACAAATACACAGATAAGCAGATACACATATAGACAAATAAAGATAAAGACAGATACACAGATAAACAGATTCACAGATAAACAGATAAACAGATAAACAGATAAACAGATAAACATATAAACAGATAAACATATAAACAGATAAACAGATAAAGAGATAAACAGAAAAAAAGATAAACAGATAAACATCTAATCAGATACACAGATACACACATAAACAGATGCATAGATATAAAGAAACACTGATAAACAGATAAACAGATGGAAAATTAAATAGATATACAATTAAACAGCTGAACAGATGAACAGATAAATGGATATTCAGATAAACAGATTATTGTTTTTTTTTACTCATAAACAGAAGGTGATTTAACAGACAAACGAAAAAATAAAAAAATACCAAATAAATGGGCCCTTGCATTCTCAGTCGGACCTGTACTATTTCACTTCCCTTTCGTATGTCATTGTTTTAAGTCCAGTGCAGTACGTTTGGCGTATGTTACATTTAGTACAGTTGATTTTACCTGGGGTTGTAGCTCCGATCTGTAATGTTATAACAGCGCTGTCAGCATCCCATTCTAAGCAAAAATACTATTAATTGAATTATTATCAGAAATTGAGAAATTGACGCGGTCACGGCGCGCAATTGCAACTTCTGTTCGTAGTTGATACAGTTTCTTTTTACCAGGTGGCGCTACAATCCATCTTTTTTTTCATTCATCTTTCAGTAAAAGAGTGTCAGTAATGATTTTTAGAAAAAAAGGGGCCGTTATCCACATTTTAATATGTTGAATTGAAGAAATATTGAATTTTCTTATTCATCCAGAATCCAGTAGCCTATTTTTGGGGAAAAAACGATGCGAGAAAAGACAGTTTCACTAACCTACTTTTTGGTAACTTTTTTGAATTTCTCCTTTAAAACGAAATAATTTAACATTTTTCTGCAGTTTAATGCGATTCAAGTTTGGATAGAAAATCAAGATTGGAGCGGGAGAAAATTTTTAATTGCATAATTAGTACCTTTAAAGATTTAGATATTTGCTTATTCTAAATCATTTTACCATAAACCTTCATTTAAAAAAAGTAATAATTGTTAAATAACTATTTGAAATTGCACTTGTATCTATCTATCTATCTATCTATCTGCCATCTGTTTTGAAGGTTTGTATTATCTAGGTTAAATATAATAATCCTAGCTACTTGCATTTTCACAATTATATAATCACAAGCTGGAAACATCCATTCATATATATAACAAAATAAGGGCAGATGCAGGAAACATTTTTGCATTAATAATTAAGATCATTTTTTTTTCAGCGACTGAACTCAAAATCTAGGAAACAAATTTTTAAATAAAGGTTCAACAATTTAAATTGGAGGAAGGTGGAATCCAGATAAGTTATACTGCGTCAACAGGAAAGGTAACCGGTTAAGTCTAAAAATTGACAACCCTGATTAGTTTTCTTAAATTTTCTAATCGCTATATTTGTTCAACCTAAAAATATCGTAACCCTTATATATTTAAATTTACTAGTTTTGCTAGATCAAATATACCTTGAAAACATAAAAGATTTACATCATCAGGTTGCTGAGATATAGGATTACAAAATTCGAGTCTGAGAAGAGTGTTCAATTTTTTTATAGAGAAAATCTAGTGCAAGGAAGTGTCTAAATGCTAAAGATTTAATTCAAAAGAAGACATATTCTACCTGTGAATTTAAGAACTCCATCTTCAGCCTGCTGAGCAGATTCCTGGCTAGGTGCTTCAGGTACTTCAACTTCCTCACGACCTACTGGAGACCTAGAAGTATATATATTATTATATTAGTAAAAAAGCATTTAATTATACCCAGGTTGATTTAGGTAATAAAAAGGTATTCTATTGTTCTTAATCTATCTTTATTTATTTACAATTATGCTTTCTTGTTGCTTTATTCTTCACTCATTAGATATATAGATAGATAAATAGATAGATAGATAGATAGATAGATAGATAGATAGATAGATAGATAGATAGATAGATAGATAAAAAGATACATAGATTGATAGTTAAATGGATATGTAGTTAGATAGTTAACTCGTTTTATAATAAGGGGCTAAATTAGCGGCAAGGTTAGAAGGCCTGAAAGGTGCTGAAAGGCCTGAAAGGCCTAATAAGTATGTAGTTTTAAAGTTGAATAGAAATTAAGCATTCATTTGAACAAGCATTGATTTAATTGGATAGATGGATAATAAAGTCAAGGGTGAACAGATAAATGAAAAAGAGCGTGGATAAATGAACAATGAGTTATGGAGGAATAAAGGAGGAATGAAGGAGGAATGAAGGAGGAATGAATGAGGAATGTAGAAGGAATGAAGGACAATTAAAGTAGGAATAAATGAGGAAGGAAGGGGGAATGATAGAGGAATAAAGAAGGAATGAAGGAAGAATGACGGAGGAATGAAGGAGGAATAAAGGAGGATTGAAGGAGGAATGAAGGAGGAATAAAGGAGGAATGAAGGAGGAATGAAGGAGGAATGAATGAGGAATGTAGAAGAAATGAATGAGGAATGTAGAAGGAATGAAGGACAATTAAAGTAGGAATAAATGAGGAAGGAAGGGGGAATGATAGAGGAATAAAGAAGGAATGAAGGAAGAATGACGGAGGAATGAAGGAGGAATGAAGAAGGAATAAACGAGGACTGTACACGAAATGAAGGAGAAATGAATGAGGAATAAAGGAGGATTGAAGAAGGAATGAAGGAGGATTAAAGTAGGAATGAATGAGGAATAAAGGAGGATTGAAGAAGGAATGAAGGAGGATTAAAGTAGAAATGAATGAGAAATGAAGGATAATTGATGGATACATAAAGGAGGAACGTTAATGAGGAATGAATGAGGAATGAAGGATGTATGGAGTTAAATGAAGGATCAATGAATAATGGATGAAGGGTAATTGAAGGATAAATAAATGATAAATAAGGATGAAAAAAGGATAATTGAAGGATAAATACATGATAATTGATAAATAAGGATGAAATAAGGATAATTGAAGGATAAATAAATGATAAATAAGGATGAAAAAAGGATAATTGAAGGATAAAAAAAAACAATGAATGAAGGATAAATAAGGATGAAAGAAGAATAATTGAAGGATAAATAAGGATGAAAGAAGGATAATTGAAGGATAAATAAGGATGAAAGAAGGCCAATTGAAGGATAAAAAAGGATGAATAAGTATAAAAGAAGGATGTTAGACGGATAATATGAAGGATCAATGAACTACGAATGAATATTGAAAACAATGGTTGTCGAAAACATGGATGGTTTAGAAACAGGTTGAAAATATTTGAGTGGGAAAAAGATAAAAATAAAAACCTGGATCCTAATATTAATGGAGAACAATAATAGAACAAGATTAAACTAAAGCTAGAAGCTTGAAAAATAGTGAAATAACTTGATATATCTGGATTCTTTTCCAGCTAGGAGTGACAGCGTATAACACTGGTAAATAGCTAGTAAGAAAAACGCTACGACTACCTATAGTTTGCATGAAGGTAGGTAGGTTTAACGATAGCTAGCTAGGTTGATAATTAACCATTTAGATATATGGCTCCTGTCGGGTTATCATAGTACAGCTTGATAGCTAGGCATCTAGAAAGCTAGATAGCTAGATAGCTTGATGGCTAGGCATCTAGAAAGCTAGATAGCTAGGTATCTAAAAAGCAAGGTAGTTTGATAGCTAAGTAGCTAGAAAGCTAGATAGCAAGGTAGCTTAATAGCTTGATAGCTTGGGAAGCTGGTAAGTAGGTAGATAGACAGAGGGCTAGTTAGATGGATAGCTTGGTAGTTATTTAGCTCGGTATTAGAGGTATAATGTTACTAATTATCAAGGTCAAGTGTAAAGATGACGTTATCATTTTGAACCTTAATATACAATACTATAGTTCATTAATAAATAAGGATAAAAATACCACATTTTGGGGGAAGGGGGGGGGGTTGAATATCCCCTCTCCCATTCTCCTACCCCTCCCAAACACTATCTAAAGAATAAAATTTTCCTTACTTTATTAAACGCTAGCCCCCCCCAGGAAACAAAAATTGAAAAAATCAAGGATATGGATGTATTACATACATAATACACAATCCATATATATGGATATATTACATACATAATACACCATCCATATATATGGATATATTACATACATAATACACCATCCATATATATGGATATTGGATATGCAATACGTAGGTTGGGAAAAATAAAGGAATGCAGATAGATAGATAGATTTGCCTGAGTTATGGACATGTCCGGTAATTAATTCCTAATTAAAACTCATTTCAACAGCTTAACTATTATAGAAGTAATTAATGGTGATTAGTAGAATGAGTGGAAAGTATTGAAATGAGAAAAAATAAGAATGAAAATGGACGAATCAGACGGAAATATCATTCAAAATAATGAATGAAAAATAAAATAAAAAACTGGAATAAAAGGATAAAAGAAGCCGAACTCTAAATAAATGTTCAAGAGTATGGGGGGGGGGGGGGGGGGGTATTGAGTAAGGATAATAACAAGATAACTAATAAAAGGGGTGAGAACAATATATTAACCTTGGGTTTGCGTTCTACAAAAATATTATTTATATATATAATATTGACATAGCTGTTTCATGTTTATTGAAAAATTAAAACAATAAAACGTTTAACCTTTAATATGGCCATTTTCGAATACGGGTTGGGCACAATTTGCTTCATTGTAGCTTGTAAAAGTTCAGTGATAATAGCAACAAAAAATGTGTTTTTTTTTTTGCAAAAAAAAATGTTTTCATGACATAATATCCTCCCACCAGTACAAGAGAATTGAAGGAGTGTTAGTTTAATCATTATAAAATTACCAAAAACTAAAAAAATTAAAGCAAAATTAGTTTTTTTTAGGGCTAGCGCGCGTTTATTTTGTATTCTTTTTTGCTTAGACAAAGGTATTATTTCTTAAATAATGCAAATATGACAAGTCGTATCATAAGGCAAGCATGGCATTGATAGAGTTGCAGAATTGAATTCCATCCAAATAAAATAAATTACATTTTGAGAGTCAAGGTTTTGACCCAACTCTTTATTCGTCCTTCCATTGTTTAATTAATCTATAAACATATATCTGCAGATTTGCACAAATCCTTGAAAAGTTAAAAGTTCTATATTTTCCATCTCATGAAAGGCCATTTCGTGTGACCCTCTCGTTTGGAAAATTTTAAAGTTGAATTGACAATTTATAAAGTTTTGCTGAGCTGATGTGAAAGAAAATTTTATTTAATTTTTCAAAAATTTTAGTATTTGGGAGTCCGCATTTTAATTAACTTTGGTTTTATAATGAATTTTGATAAAAAATCCAACATTTTTGACAAAACTAATGAATTTCCCGAATTATGAACAATAATACCATTGTAAACATGTTATTTAAACCATCGTGATTCGTGAATCTTTAAAATTATCTTGTCACAGGATAACGGGTCAAATAAGATTGTTTTAATTTGGTTAATTTAGTGTTTTTAACTTCGTTGAACAACACAAAGAATAAATAAATAATGAAAGCATTGACTCATATGGAAATGAGTCCATTGTTTTCATTTTAACAATGTAAATGAGAACTTAGATCAAGAAATATTTTGGAAAATTCCAGAGTTGATTTAATTCCTTACTGTACTTTTATGTCAGGAGAAGGGGAAGGATGGGGGGGGGGGTTCTGGAGATGTAGAGGCAGAATGTAGGGTTAAGAATTATCCAGTGTAATTTATATACGAGGATCGGGTTTCATTTACAAAGCAAAATCATAGTTAAATACGAACATACAATCTTAACAATTAGACATACTTATACATTGGCATACAATCTTATACCTTGACATGCAATCTTATACCTTGACATACAATCTTATACCATGACATACCATCCTATTTATCCCAAAAATAATGGACAAAGGTTATGAATATATATGTATATGTATCTATTCATCTGTATTTATATCTATTCATTTATGAATCTGTATGTATCTATGCGGCTGTTTAGTTATATCTATATAATAAAACAAGACATTCATATATATGTTGCGTATAACCGGCCAAACAGCTGGACCGATTGGGCTGACATTTTTTGTGGACACTCATGGGTGACCGGGGGTGTTAAAGGCTAAAAAAAATTCGAATTTTTTTTCTCAAAATTTTTTTTCCCACGGGCAACGCCGGGCCCTTCAACTATTATGTATATAAAAGGCAACACTTTTTCATGAATCAGGTTTAACCCATTCATATTGTATAAAGTGTTTACACCCTAGGATAGTGTGATCTAACTCAAATATCACCCTGAAATTTATTAACCTTTCCCCCCCCCCAAAAAAAATCCTATTTTTCATTTTTCATTTTTTTCATTTTTTCGAAAGACAGCCGACAGCAGTGCTGAGGAAATAAAAACAAAAATAAATAATATTAATTTTAATATTAATATTAATATTAATATTATTAACACTATTAGGGAAAGATTTAAATTCTGACAAGAAGCCCCTCAAGCTGTCAAAAATCCTTCTTTCAGAAAAAAGTGTTGAATAATTGTATGATATATTAGTTGCAGGGCACTGCAGAGGTTTCAGCATGTTTTTGCTCTCTGAAATTAGATATTTTTATACATTTTGCTTGTAAGTAAAATGTACATTTCGTGTGCAGATAAAAAACAAAATCATTTTTTATCATCGGAAAAAATTATAAACAAAGAAAATCGTCAATCGTCAGAAATCGTGAATCGTCAGAATTGAAAGTGAATATATTATTTAAT